TTCTTCTTGCGGAAACAGGTTGTTTACCTTTAGAGGCTGAAGCTCTATACTTGACCATCACTTACATCACAAGGGTGAGATCTCTTGATGCTTCTCGCCTTCCTCCTCAGGCTTTGAGTGCCACACGTGCCAAAGGATGGTTAGCGGATGTGATAACTTGGTCTTTGAGGTGGAATGTGACGGAACGCGATTGGGACCTACAACCTATAGCACTACGTGAATGTCTAAAGGAGGAGTTTTTGAACATTATTTGGAGCAAGCGCGGCACCAAGATGCAGTTTTATCAACTTCATGTGAATCCTATGCTTGTTTATTGTGAACAGGATTACCTACTTGTAGGAATCTCTACGTCCTTACGTCATATTATTGCTAGGCATAGAACTGGATCTCATAGGCTTGGAATTGAGGAAGGACGTTGGCTTAATATTGATAGGAGTGAACGTATTTGTAGGCTATGTGATGGAAGAGAAGTTGAGTATGAAGAGCATGTATTTCTTACTTGTACTAGATATGCAGAGATTAGAGTGACTCATAATATAGATGTAGAGAATTTTAATTCTTTGTTACAGTTAGTTCCTTTTGATTTAGGTTGTTATGTTAGGGACATTATTAGTTATCGTTCTAGTGCTCTTGGCACTAGCTAGGGTTTGGCCTTTGGGGTCTTTTCCCTTGTTTGTGGCTGTCGCTTGTATTGTGTTTTTCAGCCTTTTGACCCTTTGGGTTCCCCGGGCTTGATCTATTACCATTTACCATTTACTATGTGGCAACATGCCATTGGCTTACCTAAACCTTCTAGAAGTTTCTGGAATCCAAGGTTGAGGTGGCGACATGCCATTGGAAGCTTTTAAACTTCTACAAGCTTCTTAGCCACTAAGTCAACATTTAGACTTAATCTAGCCAATCATCTTTCATATATTGAGTCAAACTAATCAAATCCAAGCTTATAGTCAAATATTTAATCTTTTGGAATCTAGAACTTTGTAGAAGACAAAATAGAAGTGCTCACTCCACTCTTCTAGAACTCCGCTAATTCTTCCGCCAACTATAGACATCATAGCTAAACTTAGTCATGATTAGATAAACTTAATTATAACTAATTAGTTTAGTTATAACTAGCTAGACTTAGCTATGTCTTGGCTAATTATCCCTAATTACTTGACGACTTCTAAGACTTAGTACATATGTCCAACACCCGGTCTTACAGACTCCTTCCAGATTTAGAGATCCATCTACATGGTTTGTAGTGCCGTTTGAAGCACAGTTTGCAGCGCAATTTTCTACGCAATTTTGGGCACAACGCTGTTTTAGGTCAAACGTGATTGGTAGTCAACGTGGTCAATGTCAAACATGGTTGAAGTTAAACGTCGTTGGCAGAGCAACACAATCAACAAGTGATGGTGACGGTGACGAACGGTGAACGACGGTGACGGTGACGGAATATTCTGTCAAAAATATTTATCATCAGAGTATAGGCAAATTGGATATCGTTGGAATGCTCCCGACACAAATAGTGCATATGGATATTTTTCAGGAGGTGAATGATGACTCAAAAAGGAGGAAATTAACTCAGAAACTGTTATTGTCTCTCCTTTTCAACGTGATTGCGGGCGACATAGGTCACGAGCAACAGATAGTCGCGGGCGACGATGGTAACGGATGATTGACAGTACAATTGCTGGTGATGGATCTTTGTACTAACAAGTGAAAATTTTCATTCACGTATGTAACTACATACGTGAATACGTGTGGGAGTTTTAATCATTTTTTGAATAATGATCGAGATAAGCACCGGTATGTAGTTGTGAGGAAGTTTGATCATTTTTTGAATAATGATCAAGATGTGCATGGTACAAGTTAATTATAGTACCGTGAAGCACAACGATATCAGGTATTTTATTAGACAAGAGTGTCTGATAAAATGATTGAGTTAGTGAAGATGGATGGTAGATTCTGGTGATTGAGCTAGTTAATCTTGATGGTAAACTCTGATGATTGAGCTAATCAAGATTGACGATAGACTCTGGTAATTGAGCTAGTACATCTTGAAGGTAAACTTTGATTATTGAGCTAGTTAAGATAGACGGTAAATTTGATCCAACTTATGAGTTGGTCAAAGTTACTTCTTTAGAGAGTTTCAGGCGACACTATGCTATCATGCAGGTTGTGCATGGGAAGCGCAAGTAAATTTTGCTAACATATTATCTTTAGTTATATTTTTATAAATTTACTTTATCCTGTGATGGCTACGGCTTAGTTCTAGTTAACTCTCATGTGAACATTAGCCTTGTATTGGGTTTCTTTTTAGAACTTCTTGTAGAGTAATTATATAGATTAAGAGATTTATGTTCTCTTTATGCATGTTGGTATTTAGTTACCTCTTTATGTTATTACTCTATCCCGTGATGGCTACGGCTTAGTTCTAATCAACTCTCGTGTGAACAGTAGCCTTGTATTAGTTTTCTTTCTAGAACTTTCCGTGGAGTAATTATATAGATTAAGAGATTTATGTTCTCTCTATGCTAGCTGGTTTTTAGTTACCTATTTATGTTATTAGTCTATCTTGTTATGGTTAGGGCTTAGTTCTAGTTAAGTCTTGTGTAAAGAGAGTACTTATGTTAGGTTTCTATCTAGAATTTCACACGGAGTAATAATGTATGTTATAGAGGTTACTTTTCCTTAACGTGAGTTAAGGGGGAGATTGTTGAGATTAACTTTAGTTAAAGAGTATACTCGCGTACTAGCTATTTATAGCTAAGACATTCATCTGCACTCGGGATAAATACCTCGGGTTTCATCTTGTACGGGGACTTTTTTTCTGACAAGATCTAAAGTAACGTGCTGAGAGTTCTAGGTGGAAGTAGTACTCTTCTCCGAGTATGAACCATGTCTCAAGTATTTCATGTCACTGGAGTGTTTTGGCGTTACATATCTATCACTTCATTTGCATCAATATGGAATGCACTCTTACTACCATACTACCATAATGAAGATTCACAATCTCTATGCCAATCCCAATTTTTTGTTAAAATAATAGATGCATGAAGTTAAAATATAAAGTAATAAAACATTGTCGTATTTTTAAATATGACAAAAATTAATAAAATGTAAAAATATAATATGAATAACATTAAAAACATCATTTCCGAGTTACAAAAATTTGAGTTGACAGAATAATGATTAATGACACAATCATGAAACAAGACTTTTTTGTAAAACCAAGAGAATCAATACATAAGTTATATCAAAATTGAATTATTTTATATATAGAAAAATAATTGTTATTTTAATTCAAAGACATATGATTTAAATGAAGATAATTCATAATATATTGCATAGAGTTATAATGCAAATTACATAAAGTTAACATCATACTATATAATTGCATTAAACACATCATTTTTTTTACTTTTTTACTCATTGTTTAAAAGATTTGCTGAAGTATGATTGTTTTCTTTGTTGCAACAAAATCTTTTCAGCTGATTTTTTTTTTCCTACACTTTCAATATAACACAATATTTTGGTATTGAAATCTTTTTTAAATCTAGAAATAGTATATTATTTCAATATTTGTTCAATTTTCAAGTCTTTCACAATCTAAATTCAACATCGTATATCAATTTCAAAGTTACACACTAAATCCAAACATGTCAAGCTCTCTAAGTTTCAACCTATCAACATCAAAACACACTAGGAAGTGAAGTATTAATTAAACAAAGTCTTGTAAGATATTATCAGCTTGTAAAATTCATAACGACTTGCATGAGTATACCACTCAATAAATCGGATTTGATGAAATCAAATTCAAATTCAAAACTTGATTAAATCAATGGCATGCATCCGCGATCAATGAAGATTTTTATATCACTTCATCTACTTTTTGAACAAACCTCAAGCAAATCAATAAAGTAGTTGAATCATATATCTAAAATAGTAGCACTACATAACAATTGCAAACCCACAAGAAAATGAGCTATATAGTTAAAGTTGTAGCACTCCACAACAACCCCAGTCCAATCCATTTTGCAATCGACACGTTAAAACAAAGAAGAAAGCTATATCATCAAATTCTTACCTCCACTCTTTTCATGTGTGGTATAATATCATTTTGACTTCACTGAGATTTTTTTGAATCTAAAATCTCAAACACATGTTCAAAATCGTATTATTTGAAAGATGTATGCATACGGAAATTATCTTTTTATCTCTTGAAACAATTTTAATGTTTGAAATGTATTAAGGATTCAACTAATTCTACTCAGTCTAATTATGAAAAGTTAAATGAGATATGAAGCGTTGTGTAAAAGAACTCAGAATAGTTCTGTATGGAATTAATCAGAAAATGAGAGTTTTACATAAATCTACTATAGAAGTTGCGACATGTTAGTTACAATACAGTTCAGAATGTTGGAGACACTCCCAACATTATGAACTGGATTGTGGTGCACCAGATTATACTTTCTATTGAAACTGCCATAAAATGTGCTACAGATTTACATAATCGGTGGATTTGCTTAAAACAACCGTAAACCTTTGAACCCGCATTTTTGCATTTCACAAGATTACATTGTGCTGACTTTATCCGTGAAAAACATAAACATTTTATGGACCAATATACCTGTACATTCATAATCCAAAAGTTGATATTGAATTTGATTATTGAGAATGCATTACTGTGAATCCTCTTTCGCATCTTCTTATCCTGGCTTATTTATATACTCATGGCATATGGAGAAGTTTTTTCCTAATTAGGTGAATCCAAGAATGTGGTATACAATACTACATTGATTTCTGCAACATGCTCTATACCACGAACAACTGCAATTATAATTTTGCAACCTTTCTATCAATTTGAAACTAGACATAGACCATATAGTTTACGATCTGGAAGTATTTTCAGGAGTCAATAGCTCCTTTAAATCAACACTGCTTACCTAGTTGAATAACCAGAAATTGAATACCGGAGAGTTACGACACGCAAAAATACACGGCAGCACGAATTTGTAGAAAGAATACAAATGATACTAATATGGCCGAGAAAGTGGAATAGAACAATACGTGTCTCTCCAATTTCGTCCATTTTTCTCACTCCATAATATCTATTGTTCTCTCTGAGCTCGACTTTGCAAAAGTCAGGAGCCAATGGCACATAGATGGAAACTTGGTCAAGAATCCGGCACATAATTCCGATTTTTCTACAATATCTGTACTCGCAGCCTGTGCAAGAAATGTGCTTCAGGTTCTAATTCCGGTGGAATCCAAAGTTTGAGTTGAGGCACAAGGATCTTTCAACATCGCAAGCCTTGTGGAAGAAGCCAGAGGATCAAGTGAACTGCAAGAGTAATCAAATGAAGAGATTCTAGTAGAGGAAGACAGAGAAATCTCTGGACTGCAAGAGAAATCACTTTTCTCTGAACTAGATATGACGCATGGCGACTGCTCGTGAGAATCAGAGTAATCATCAACCTGCGTCCATATACTGCCGTAGTCAGGTAAAGCTGGTCCCAGCGACCTGGTTGACAAATAATTAGGAATCTGATCTGTACTCTGCCACCAAATCTCTGTCTTACTCTTACTAGACGCCCTTTGCCTACATGGTGAAGCTTCTAGGTCTCCGGGTTTTGCTCTATACGATGCAGTCGATGAACCTGCTAAACTGTCCATCCATTGTCCTAGCTTTTCGCAGCTCAACAGTGGATTCTGACCTGACTGGATAGATTGGAGTGGATTGCAAGAGTCTTCCAAACCAGCAATCTCCAAATGGCCAAACAGATCCTTCGGCTTTGTTTCACAAGCTTCAACTCGAGAAGGCTGTTCACTCGACCGAGCAGAAAAATGCGCAGCAGAAAGAAGACTTTTGCTGTCCCCAAGATGTAAACCAGAGATCTCTCCTGACTGCTTTCCCAAAACATTGCTAACATTTTCCTGCTTTTTTCGCATTAGAGTGATGAACATGCTAGGGTTCTCTGCACGATCATCAGAAGCCGAACTGAGATTGCTTGATTCTTCACTGCAGTATCCACTGCAAAGAGCATGAGAACACTTATCGTGTTTAGAAGAGGAGAGGTCTTCTGCTGTGTCTGTCTTTACTGCTCTTCCACTACTCTTTTGATTCCTTGATGGCTTTTCGCGTGTTGGAAGTTTAAACAGTAGCGATTTGCTTCTCTTCGCGGAATCCATTTCCAAACACTGGCGATCTTTCTTTGATGGCACAGCCATGGGATTGGCTGAGCGCGATATATCTGCCAGTGCTGCATCTAGGTTTTTCAATAAGCTGGTGCTATCAAGGCGAGAGAGATCAGTATTTGGCAACATTTTTCCGCGATTGATCTTGGTAGGTCCAACGGGCTGAGACTCGTCGCCGCTCTGCTCCTGGATTTTCTGGACACTGGACGAATCTACATGCTTCTTCGATGGAAAATATAACTGGCTCAATGAGATTGAGGGATCAGGCCTTTTGAATTCATCAACAACCTCAACTCGAGAAGGTTTTGATGGCAGATCTTTGAAGTACCTTAATATATCTGCGGTGCTTGGCAAAACTTGTCTGTAATTTGAACAAACATATCTTGCTTCAAAACTTGGACATGCCAACTGCTCCTGTGAACTGTTGTGACTAATCTGACCTTCCGGCGAGCTTGATCCGAGGGACTTTAGTAGCTCATCCAAAGGATTAGACATTTCAGGCCTGCCGTCCTGAATGACGTTCTCTTTTCCATTCCGGGAGATCGTTTTCATTTTAACCTGTCGTGAATCACCGTCAAAATATACGAAGGTCAATCTCTCCACAATCCTTTTTTTCTCCTCATCTAAACAGGTTTTGCCTCGTGCAAGTGTTGACAGGCTCTTGAAGTTATGTTTCGCTTTCCGACAAATTTGCCAAGTATATTTGCCGTATGTTCCGCATTTGAGCCACATCTACTCCCCAATACTGATCCAGCCGCCTCTGCCGTTGCGTCTTGAAGGTCCTAGATCCTAGCAGATTTCCAGCCAACTGCGTGGCGCTACAGACATTAGGGCAAGACTCCACACACAAACAAAACTCCATCTTGGAATCTTGTTCCATCTGTATTGCAAGATTGTATGTATCAAGTAAGGGCAATGTGAGAAATTGTAGAGATCTGCGACTCTGGGTAATGGAGCTGCCCTTTCTTGATCTGCGCTTTTACTGCTGGATTGCGATCGTTTGTATTTCTACTACAAATCAAGTAATTCCCGGATATTGATAAATGTGTTGTACAAACTCATCTAGGTATCAATATTCTTATGGCTGGGACTGATTTCAGCATTCTCGTATGTCGTCAAAGTAGGGCAACATGAGTAAAAGGCTGCAAAGGATTCCTGACACCAATTTCCCGACTATGGATATCATGCCAATATTGGAGAAATTGACTCGGTTTCAGCAATTTACCACAATTATGACGTACTATCTGTTCCGCTAACGGTAACCAGGGTAAAAGCGATGTTCGTGTAGATTCTTACTCGATAGGAACCATTTTGTTTCGAAGTAGGGTAGGTTTAACTGCATTAAACAAATTGAGTTATGAGGCATGCAACAGACCAATCTAAACTTCGATGTGATGCACCACATTCTTCTACACAACAGAAAGCATATGAATGCACATGGTGGGGTAGAAGGCCAAATTGATGAAGCTAAGGTCGTTCTCGCACGTAGGATTTTCGCCATGAAAATAAAAATAATAGCAGGATAGAGATGCTAGGAATCACTTAAGAGTAATTAGGCACGTAATGATTTCAACTTCCACCGATTTGAATATCTGTCAACTGGTATGATCTATAAATACTCAATGGTGACGGGCATCTTGAAAACTCGATATCCCAACGTAGAGTGCACCACGTCAAATTCGATAGAGGTTTTAGTGATCATCCACAGTCAGTCTGGCGTTCACATACCTGTAGGGAGAGTCTCCTTGTTTGACAACGTACAATATTCCAGCAGCAGGTAAGCACATCTCGATGTCTCGATGGCGGCCAGCAAGTTGGCAAGCCACTTCGATCCAGCACTCAATTGTTGAAAGATTACCGATCCTATTCGAACCGTCCATAGATCACGGGGAGACTGGCGGAAACAGAGACGTACAAAATAATATTTTCTGAATACGTTTCGGAAGCCTTTTCCACAAGGTCAGGCGATCCCGGTAAAGCAGACTGGTGTTCCATCGCAGCTCCTCGAGGCAGCTCGTACAGAAATGACAGGAGATCAGTTCACAGCATTCAAAATCGGCGCGCCGGTTTCTGCTGCATCTTCGTCATCGAAGCTCAAGGCTCCTATACCCTGAACCCCAGACATTCCTGCGGACGATGCTGCTCAGCCAGACTCCACAGCCCAGACGGAGAGTATGCCAAGCATGCCATTCATTTAGTATACCGCCATACGTCCGGGTTGGCACGTGCAACTGTCGCGGGGAGACTCCAGCACATCCGGGTCGTACACTACTGATGCAAATCTTCAGACTGGTTGCTCATGGTTAGAATCCGGCGTCGCAATTGTCTGAACCGTATACGAAACGACGACGCTCGTCTCTGACGAGCGTGTGACTGCCTGCCACCATCAGAGCGGAAATTGGCGACTTGTTACAGAAAAGAAGGAAGATGGACCTGCAAGATCATGACGACTTTCTGAGGACCATGGGCTTATTTCGCAGTTGATGGAGGGAAGACGACGGTGTGCATGCCCTTCGATGATCTGAAGCAGCGGCGGAAGAGCATGCATAGAAGTTTCCGTCCCTCGTGCTGCAGCGTTTCCAAGAGAGAGTGTTCCTTCCGTAGAATCTAAATGCCCTCTCAGATGCGCAGGTTGATGCACAAGCCCACTTCAAGGCACATTGTCAGATCGTCTTGCAGAAGTCCTGCTGAAGCAAGCGCCAGACCTCTCTCTCTCTCCCTCTCGGCCGAGGCAGAAGAGAGAAGGCGAAGTGAGCGTGCTTATAACTGCTGCTCATCTCTCCACGCGGCTCTGGAACGAACATGAATGGAAAGCAAAACAACCGGAGCAAATGATTCCCTGTGCGAGCTGCTTTTACCCCTGTTGTTACATGGCGACACAAAGGCCACAATCTTACTTACCAGAAACTCCAGGAGCAGGGTGGAAAGGGACAGAAAGCCGCCAGTTATTTCTGATGTACGTGATGTGACGCACTTCTGTCTGCATCCCAAGCACGTACGTGTCTTATCGCCACCATTAACTAGTGAACATGGGCTCGATCGACGGCTACAGATCCTCGTTCGGAGTATCGGCTGAAGATTGGTAACGACTAGAAGTCCGAATCGTCGAAATTTGTGGAAGAGAATCAGTTGTCCAGCAGCAGGTAAACTCGTCATAAAGAGTAGAATGGGACTGTCTAGTCCCGCCGTAGATTGTAGATAGTACAGTTAGTCTAAATTTGTGTTCGAATCATTAACTTGTTGCTGTCGGGATGTTTTTCCCTGTTCCTAGGCCTGGTCCCACACGAGCTCCACATATTGCTCTCGTGTACATATGGAAGGGGACACAATAATTTTCCTCTTCAGGATGGGAACACCACATCGAGTACAGAAGTGTGAAACCAAATTGTCGTGCCCACCTTTGGACAAGGAGAAAAATAAGCATGGGAATACCCATTGAACCGTACGATGAGAAATGCCCCCAACATGCAGCTATGGCCTGTTAAACAAGTGTTACTCGCTGCAGGCGCACAATAACACGAGCCACCGCTTCCGAGAGTCTCAGTGTTTAATTGATTTTGACACGGGAAAAGTGTTTGAACACTCTAATTTCTTTAAACACCATCTCTTTAAATCCTGCTTTTACTGTGAACTTAGTGAAGCCATGTATTTCGACTCGACCTGTATAATTTCTGAAATGATTACTCCTTTAACCTAAGTTAACAGTTAACAATTAACTTAAATGGTTACTCCTTGTTTACAGTCACAACCCACTCTTCCCTGTTTTCCACACTAGCCATGCAGTACCTGCTTTATCATTTAACTTTGTGAGGTAACTACTTTGCCCGAGTACAGGGTTCAACCAAATGAACAAAGTCAACGGTGATGTATTTTCTGGTCCAGAACAATGACGTGTAAAGTAGTTTGTATTTGCATATGAGATGCACAAATGAAAGGTTAGTTTCATAGAGAGTCATGAAATCAATTTGAATAGTAGAACTACAAAATACCAACAAATGAAGCAGTTCAATTCATCATTTACTCAAAAGCAATTCTTGAATTAAATAACACTTATAATTTAATGATACGATTTGTGCCTCATGTATGTAGCAATGTATGTATATCCACACATTTTTAATACATATATTTGTTTCAAAGGAATGAATCATGAACGAAATCGATTTCAAAATTGAATACTAATATAATCTCATTTCTTGCTTTAAAGTCGCAACTACCACATGATTTATGATTGAAAGTTCAATTGGATATCCAATTCTGAAAAAAAAACAAAACGTCAATATGTCAGTTCTTTAAAACTAATTGCATCAAATGACACAGTCATATTCTATTATAATTTTTTATTTTTAGAAATAAATAAAAAACAATGAAATAACAAGTATATACAAAAATACTTAAGTATATTGAATTATATTAGATACAACAGATATATATTTTCATCAAAGTTTGAAAAACTTTGAAAATCTTTAATAAATATTTATACATGTACATCATGTAAGTAATATTTTTTTTCAAATGTGTACAAATGTCTATTTTACCATGAAAATGTTCTTATATGTGAATTTTAATATATTTATCATGGAAAATTAATAATAAATTATTATATTTATAATTTTATCAACAAAAATTGATGAATCCGGAAATCAAATATGTTTTTTCATACATTTTTTGAGTTTATTTTATTTTATTAATAATTGATTATATAATTTAAGCTGTGTGAAAGAAAATGACTTTTATGCGAAATCTCAGCTAATAATATGCACTGTATTTTCATTTTTATTTAATTATTTTTTAAATGTATATATTGTACTTGTAGATCCTCATTTACAAGATTTTTTTTATGTATGTCGCTGCACTCATATATTTGAACTGTAACCGAATCTTTGAGCTTTGGTATCTATCAAAGTATAAATACTTTTTTCAGATTTTTCCAACTCTTTCAAAATCTCCATGTGTTTTATGAAATGCAAATTTGCTTGTTGCCTACAGAAATCAAATAATTAGTTTAGCAATAAAAAAAAATTATGAATCGATTTGTCAGCGTATTGATTTGTTGGTTATGAATTGCTATTTGGTAAAAAGAATACTCCCAGCTATTATACACAATTATTTTGATTAATATGATTTGAGTAAGCAATAAATAAATAGCTAGGGGTATTTTTATAACTAGTAGCAATTCACTCCCAACAAGTTTCCAACAATTATTGTTAAGGAGCAAAATTTTAGTAGAAATCAATTTCACATGTTCAAACTTGACTTTAACTCAGGCCTACTAAATTCTGGCAAATGCCAGGTTTGCCAAAATCAAGGTAATTCAGGCAATTTTTTTTACTTAATTCTGGCATTTCAATTTCTGGCATCAACGCTATAATTTTATTATTTTGTGTTCGATGTTTTGGTGATAATCGTTTGAATTGCTTCGCATGTATAATACTTGACAAGTAAAGTCTCGTAAGGCTGCTGCGGGAGTCAAATTTCTCCCATTTGATATGAAGAAGTCGCTCCCAACAAATTTGGTATTTTGAAAATGTTGAATGAATGAAAAGTATATGAAATTTACCTGGACCTTATAATCTAGACAAGAAAATACTCACAATGATCAAAACAAACATGCTTTAGAAATGCTATGAAAAAAAATGAAGTAAAAATATGCAATATACTTGGTAACTTCTATTACAGTCAAGATAATAGTCATAATGATCAAAACAAATGTGCTACAAAAATGAAATGAAATAAAAAAAATAGAAAATCATAACTTGAAATGTATGTGAGCTGTAATTTTCTCACTTCTTCTCTTTGTTTTGTGTGTAAACTGTTCTCTACTTCTGATATATTGTTTTACTTCTTGCACTCATAGGTTATTTCGTGAACACACAATCCTACCCGAACTTATTACTCCTGGATTTCCATTGCCATAGAATAAATTTCATATGATGTATAGAATTTTGACCAGATTAATTTTGGCAAATTGGCCAAATTATTTTTGGCAATTTTGGCATCTAAAAAAATAATGCCAAATTTTATGCCAAATAAATTGAAAGATCAAGTTCATTTAACGTAAGCAAGAACAAATACATGACAAGAAATACGACAAAAACATTTTGAGCCAAAATACTTTGATTTGAATGAAAATAGTATAGTATGATTTAATGACACTAATAACTAAAAAGAGGTTGAATGCACATATGTTGGAGCAAAATATGAACATAATGAAATATATTGTGTTATAAAGCGTTGTGGTAGTTGAAATTAATAAATATAATTAGAAAATATGAGCACATTTAACAGATTGTGTGGTGTTTTTCAAAATGTTATTTTTCTTAAAAAAGGCTTATTTTTTTATAATAATTACCAATATAATATATAAAATCTGAAAAAGTTGATACAATAAATGATATAAAAAATTGTGCAAGATTCGAAGATGTCAAAATTGGAAGAATTTTTTTGAAAACATTGCGGGCACAAGATGAGATTATTAAAGAAGTGAAAAATTAATTGTTCTATTAATAAATAGTTTTCTCACTTCTTCTAATCAACTTTGAACAATTAAAAACAAACAGTACTAATGTGATGAAGAAAAAAATTAAAAGTACTAATTCCTACAAATGTACCCAAAATGCTATATTGATAATGAATTACATAAATGAACAATATACATCAATTATAAATGCATCAAATAACTTGTTATGTGCAAATTCTACACACCAAAAAAAGAAGCAATTGAGTTACGTACTCACTTTGATTGCATGTAGCATTAAAAAGGTTGATTTTGTTTGCTATCTCTATCTGATGATGAATCTGAATCTTTCTATAAATAAATAATTTAAAGTTTTCTGAAGTAAAAAGGTTAATAATTTTGTCAACAAAATCAATTGTTTGAGGTCATGATTCATAGAAACTACATCTTGATATAATCTGATAAATTTTTTATCTTTTTTTTTAAGATAAAGCATTTTTGTTTTTTATGAACAAAATATTGTATAATATATTTGTTGTTTTATCCAAGAAAACATAAGAAAAATTAGTTCTAAGATGATTTATTAAAATTCAAATAATTTATTCATGAAAAATATTTGCATCTCTGTTTATGAATAAAATATCCTGTTAGAAATATATTTACATTTACAATTTGAAACTCAAAACTTGACATCATTACAAAACAAAACTTATATCATAACAAATGTTTTAGCATCATATTCACAATTCTAATTGTTTGTTGTTTTGTACAAATATGTTTACAACTTGCTAATTCAGAATGTATAACATGACATTTGATCAAAATTATCATTTATATCATCAACTATTTTTAAATTTCAATATGTAATTGTGAAATGATGGATCTTTTTGTTTGCTTTTTTAATTTAATTTGTGTTCATAAATCAAATAGCAATTGCATAATGATACAATTAAGTTTTTCATTGACTTTTACATACATATTCCTAAAATTTAATCATTGATTATATAATATATATATATATATATATATTCTTTTATTTTTTTTAATACATCATCAATTTATAATAATTTTGTAATCACAATCTTCTAGTTTTTCAAGTTTTTCATTTTTTCAATGATTTGTTGTAAAAGAAAGCTTTTTTTTCTAAAATTAATAATACTTTCATTTCTTAATTGCCATGAAATCAAAAAGATGAAAATGACGCCAATCTTTATTAAATTTTGATCAAACCTTTCGATCATTTTTGTGGCTAACAAAATCACTTTCAATTTACTGAATA